ATCGGCAGGCCTTTCTTCCTGGTCCATCATAGTCTGGAAGCTCTGCTGAAACCTGTTCAGCATCATAGCAACAAGACGCAAGCCCCCACTGGTGGCTGCGCATGAGGTGCATTGGCCGGGAATCGAACTCTGGCCTCCCGCATGGAAGGCGAGAATTCTACCACTGAGCCACCACTGGCCCCCGTGTCCAACTCGTATCCACTGCTGTCTCTTTATAATTCTAGTGTTTTTCAGTTGGGTTTTATTCGTTTGGTTTTCGAGTTTCCTGAGTAGATAGTCATATCTTTGAAAATAATAAAAATTTAGTCTCTCCCTTCCCTTTCTAATAGTCCCATTCTCTTCTTTCCAGTATGATTTTTATGACATTGACTGGAATTTCCCGAGTGGAGTTCAGTGTCGGTGATGTTGACGGCCATCTTGTTTTGCTCGTCCTTTTTTATTTTTGCTTTATCGTTGAGGGGAATGGAAAGGCACTGTACATGGGCTCTCAGAAGCCGGAAGTGCCCCCACCTCCCTGCTTGTGTTCCTTCTCTTCCTCCCATCTGGGACGCTCTCTCCACCCCGCACCTGTCTGCAGCCGTCTCTCCAGGCCTCCTGCTTCAGGCCGACCTAGGAATAGGCAAAAGCGACCCTTCCCCCTCATGCGGAACAGACTGCGCGCTGGGATCCCTCCCTTCTGCTCCTGCCTGGGGTTGCCAGGTCGCCATTGCTCTCTGTGTGAGTTTGCAGGTTCCCAGAGGAAGGGACTTGGCTGTGTGACAAGCCCCCTCCCCCAACCCTGGACAGACAAGGAAGGCCCTTGTCATTCCTCAGACATTTTGTTCCAGAGCTGAAAAGTCCCCTCCTCCAGCCCCTGACACCCCCTCAGCCCATCATCCAAGCCTGGCCATGTGGTCGGTGGAGAAGCTGACCATAGGAGGGTCAGCCTGCCTCTGGGAAGCCAGGCTACTGGGACAGTGAGCTCCCCTCCTCCCTCTGTCCCTGGCCTGAGTCCCCTACTATCAGCGTTGACTTGGGCACACACTGTCTCTGCTCAAGGCGAGCCCTGTGTGTGCCACCATCTCCTACTTGGAGTCTGGCCACAGCAAGCCTGCAGCCCACTTTCGTGAAGTGTTCTCTGTTTCCCTGCCTCTCCTCCCCCAGGGCCCTAAAAACCAGTTGCCATCAAGTCAACTCTGACTCGTGGTGACCCCATGTGGGTCACAGTAGAACTGTGCTCCATAGGGTTTTCAATGCCTGCTTTTTTTTGGAAGTAGATTCCAGACGTTTCTTCTGAGGCATCTCTGGGTGGACTCGAACCTCCAACCTTTCTTAGCAGCCAAACATCTTAACTGTTCCCACCACCCAGGGACCCCGACCTGTTATCATTGAGTCAGTTCCGACTCATGTGACCCCAGGTGTGTCAGACTAGAACTGTACTTTGCAGGGTTTTCAATGGATAGCTGGTTTTTCGGAAGTAGATTGCTAGGCCTTTCTTCCAAGGCACTTCTGGGTGGACTCAAACCACCAACTTTTTGAGCTGAATGCTTAACCATTTGTGTCGCACAGGGACCCCATGGCCCTGGCTCCTGGGATTTCTTCTCTGTGTGACAAGGATTCCCCTGGAGGAGTGTAGACCTATAGGGTCTTCCATTTCCTGCCTCCAGGCCCTGCGGTCCCCAGTTGGGGGGAAGGCTGGCTCTGAGTGAGTGCAAGGGCCAGCACTGTCCAAGTGTGACATAACTTAATACTTGTCCAACCCGCGAGGAAGGAGTGATCACCCCATTTCATAGATGGAACAGCTGAGGTTGACAGCAATGAAGTAACTCACTCAAGGTAACAGCTAGAAAAAAAGGCAGTGCCACCATCAAACCCAGGCTGTCTGGTTCCAAAGCAAGGACTTCTGTGTCCTGCAGGACCTTGCCAGGGCCACCACCTGCACAGCAGTCGGGAAATGTGTTTGTTGATGATAACTTGGCTCATGCCCCTAGCTTGGAACGTTCTAAAATACTTCTCCCTGTTCCATCCCTCCTCCTTATACAGCTTGTTGGGCGCCATTGAGTTGATTTTCAACTCAGCGACTCCATGTACAGAGTAGAAGTGCCCCATAGGGTTTTGTAGGCTGTAAGCTTTATGGCAGCAGATCGCAAGGTCTTTCTCCTACAGAGCGGCTGCGTGGGTTTGAGCCACCAACCTTTCGGTTAGCAGCTGAGGGCTTAACCATTGCACCACCAGGGCTTCTTCCTATACAGCTAGGTATTGGCAAAGAGCCAGAGTGTGAAAAACAAGTCAGAAGGTCAGGCATGTGGCAGGGCTTGGCCTCACCTAGTCCGCGCTTTGCATTCCTGTTTGTGGGGAGGAGTCCTGTGAGTCAGCCCTGCCCTGACAGAAAACCTTTTAGTTTCCCTCAACTGAGGTCATTGAGATGGGAGGCGCTTCGTTTACTGGAATGGGCGAGCGGTGGTGTGGCATGTCGAGCGTGGTGTGGCATGTCGCCATGCACATGCACACACGTGTCACTCTGATGACTATCTCGAATCGCAGTAGTTACAAAGTGCTGTTGTGTCTGCCTCACTGGCTGGTCCTTCAACAGCCCCGTGCCGTACACGTCACACCTCCGTTTTACAGACAAGGAGCCGAAGCTCGGGGAGCTGAAGCCATCTGCTCAGATCACAAATCCGTTTCCGGATCCTGAGCCTCTGTCCCTAAGACTGGGAATCAGCAGAGCTCGGCCCCGATGCAGAGGCCTGTCGCTGACGAGAGCCAAGAACCCCTGTCGGCTGTCGTAGGTCAGTCTGGGGGTCAAAGGGGAGCCCATGGGAGCCAGCAGTGCCCCTCAGCCAGGGGCATCTCAGAGGAGCTTCAGCCCTATAATCTCTGTCGTCCCCCAAAGACCGCCATAAATCCGTGAAAGCAGTGTCTTGCTGAGCAAACGTAGCTTCAGATGAACTCCCCAGGTCCCTCTGCACACACCTGCTTGGCCAACCCCGGTCCCTCTGTGGGGACCCTCTGGTCTCTGCTGACCTGCCTGGGCTGCCCTTTGAGCTCACTCCCCACATGGAGCTGGACCCGACAGAGAGGACCGCCCAGTGGGGCAGAAATGTGGTGGAAGGGCCTCTTGCCTGTACCCTGTCTTCTGGAAGGAGGTTAGAGCAGGACCAGGAGGCCTGTTTTGTGGACCACGGGCTCCCTGGAACCCCAGGCCACTGCAGTCACCCCAAGCTGGCCATTTCAGGGGCGCACCCCCATGCCTAGGAGCCCTGGTGGCATAATGATTGGGTGCTCGGTTGCTAACTGAAAGCTTGGCATTCAAACCTGCCCAGCTACCCCATAGGAGAAACCCCTGGCACTCTGCTCCCGTAAAGATTACAGCCTAGAAAACACTGTAGGGCAGTTCTACTCTGTCACATGGGGTCGCTATGAGTCGAAAAGCAACTCAGCACACCTAACGACAACCCCCATTGCCAAGCCCTCCTGACCACCCCCCACCCCCCCCCCCCCCGGAAATCGTCAAAGGCACCCTCTGAGTCAACCCTGGCTCAGACCTCTCCAAGGCCAGCCTCAGCCCTGGCCTTGGTGACAGTCTTCGTGCAAATGACATGCTTTCTGGGCATGAGCGAGGAACCCTGGCAAAGCACAGGAGACCACTTGGAACAAAGCTACCACTTCTGGGGGTGCCTTGGCCAGGTGTGCTGTGAACATGCTCTTGGTGCCGACAGGCAAGTCCTGGGGACACACTGGACTCTGTTCCGACTCAGGGCCTCTCCCCTCGGGGAGCCCGAGGCCCCCTGTGATTCTGAGGATCCACTCCCTCTCTGCTCTCACCTGGAGAAAGGGGGAGTGGCCTTGACCACAGCCAAGGTTTCCTGCATTGTAACGGGCTTTGGTCTCCTGACCACAAAGCAGGACGAGAACCCCTGGGGAGGGCGGCTCATGCCCCTGGATACGGGAGGGGCGGGTGGGGACAGCGTCTCAGGGGTCAGCAGTTGGCAGCCGCACCCATGTTCTCTCCGGCTCCTCCTCACATCCAGTGATTTGGGACCAAAGCAGGCCCTGAGGGGCTCAGAGACTTGCTCCGGCATCGGCACTGGTGAGAAGCGGGATCGAGTTAAACAAATCTGCTGGTGCCATGCCCGGGCCTCCCCATGTGGCCCCAGCATCGCAGGTCACAGTCTCTGAGGATCAGAGTGGCCTGGTCCCCTGTGACTAGCCCATGAATTAAAGGCCACATCTGGCTCATCTTCCAAGTGGCCTGAGCAGCTTTGTACAATGAGCATCCCCAAGCCTCTGCCCGGCCCTCCTCAGTTGGAGTCTCTGGGTGGCAGGCTGCCCAGGGTGCAGGCTCAATGGGGAGAGGACTGGTGCCCCTGGAGGAGACTCGGACGCCAGGCGTGGCCTGCGGAAGCCACGCTGTGTCCTCCTGAGTGTGAAGCCTCCACCTAGGGAGGTGTGATTAGTGCGTGGGGAGGCAGGTGCTCCCAGCCTGATGACTGTCAGCAGTTCCCCAGGCCCTTACTCAGCTTCTCCTGGCCAAGGCGGACTCAACAGGGAGACCCGGGAGCTTGGCTCATTCCTCAAGGGGTGGAGACCACCCCGGAGCCCCCTCATGTGCCTGCCCCTGTGTGAGCCGTTCCGTTGTGTATTCACTCAACAAACACACACTTGTTTAGTGCCTGTCACAAGGCCTCTGAGTTGGCTTCTGGTGTTTGGATCCCAACCTAGCTTTGGGCAGTGACTGACTCTGAACCTCAGCCCCCAAAGCGCCTGCCTTGAGGGGTCGTGGAGGGCTGAATGAGTCGAGGGGTGGACAGGATGCAGTGTGGGGCTGGGCGCTCAGCTAAGGCTAAAGAAATATCATGGGCTGTTAGCTGGAGCGGCCCAGAGCCCAGAGGGGCCCCAGGCTTGGCAGGACCAGGGTGCAGGTTGACAGGAAGGGACAGAGGCTGCCCTGAGGTGGGGCAAGGGTGTGGAGGCTGGGACTAGAGGGTGCCGGGAGCTCACAGTCTCTCCTCTCTCCTCAGTACGGCAAGAAGAAGCTGAAATACCTGCCCTACAACCACCAGCACGAGTACTTCTTCCTGAGTGAGTGCTGCGTCCCCCGGACCCCAGGCCTTTCTCTCACCCAGAGTGCCCATCCACCGCTCCCACTGACACACAGCTAACTTTGTCCAAAAGTGAGGCCCCCCGAGGAGGGTGTCCCCACACCGTAAACCTTAGGCTGGCCGCTTGTTAGAGAAGGAGGGGCCGCAGCAGCCAGCCTGGCCTAACCCTTCTAGCCTCATTTTACAGGTGGGGACACTGAGGCTCAGAGAGTCTGAAACGCTTACTCCAGGTCACCCATTCAGTGATCCTCGGGCTGCAGGGTGTGGGTGTTGATTGCGTACCATCCAGTGATGGGAAAGGCTCCCAGCTCCCATCCTGGGACCCCAGGGTCCCTGGCCACCCCTGCCCATGAGGTGCAGAGCAAGACACCCGCTCAGCATTCTGATCCTCCAGCTCTGAGTGGGCGGGAGGGACACCTCTAATGTCTCTGCCCTCTCTGCAGTTGGACCGCCGCTGCTCATCCCCATGTATTTCCAGTATCAGATCATCATGACCATGATTGTTCGCAAAGACTGGGTGGTGAGTGGAGGGCAGGTCTGGCTCGGGGGTGGGAGGAGGGGGCTGGGATGAATGGATACCAGGGCCCTGCACCATGTCCCTGTGCCTCTGTGTGTGGCCTGGGGGACACAGGTATCTCCTCCCCAGGGGTAGCTGCCTCGTCACACCCAGGAAGGGACTTTCTCTGAGGCTGCCAGGATCCAGGGAGGCTACAGCAGGCCAGTCCTAAAGAACATCCCCCCAACACACACTGGTGCCCCCTGGAGCAGCCACTGCCTTTGTAGAGCCCCCAGAGAAAATTCCAGAAGGCAATGTGTAATGCCATCATCTTCCCGTTTTCCCTGTGCGGCCCCCGAGACCCTGTGCAGCAGGCTCCACTATGCTGTGGTTGGGAAATGGGGAGCAGCCAGGCATTAGCTGAGAAGACAGGCTCAGAGGAGCCTCCTGGTTCTGCTTCCAGGGAGAGAAAGGGACCCCGGAGCAGGCTGCTCGGTGTGGGGCACACAGTGTGTCCTTGGGTTTATGTACGTGCAGGCATGATTTCCCGTAAGAGGATAACGCGCCCCTGATTGAATAAGCTAACTGTCCCGGGCACAGGCAGAGCCTAGTTTTGCAGAGTGGGGTTCACTGTGACGGGGACACAGGAGGGGACAGATGAGTGACAGTCACTTACTAGATGTAGCAGTTCTCGCTGGCCTTTTATTATTATTTTTTAACCCAGTTTAACACCTGAGGATGTTGAGGCTCTGAAAGTTTCAGACTTGCCCACGGTCTTAGTCTTTTAGTGCTGCTACTACAGAAATACCACAAGTGGGTGGCTTTGATGAACAGAAATTTATTTTCTCACAGTTTTGTTTTTGTTGGTGTTAGGTGCTGTTGAGTCGGTTCCAACTCATAGTGACCCTACGTTCAACAAAATGAAACACTACCCAGTCCTCCACCATCCTCGCAATTGTTTCTGTATTTGAGGCCATTTGTTGCAGCCACTGTGTCAATCCATCTTGTTGAGGGTCTTCCTGTTTTTCGCTGACCCTCTCATTTACTAAGCATGATGTCCTTCTCCAGGGACTGATCCCTCCTGCTAACATGTCCAAAGTATGCGGGACAAAGTCTTGCAATCCTTGCTTCCAAGGAGCATTCTGGCTGTACTTCTTCCAAGACAGATTTGTTCTTTCTTCCGGCAGGCCATGGTATATTCAATATTCTTCGCCAATGCCATAATTCAAATGCATCAATTCTTCTTCAGTCTTCGTTATCCGATGTCCAGTTTTCACATGCATATGAGGTGAGGTCATTGAAAATACCATGGCTTGGGTCAGGTGCACCTTAGTTCTTAGTGACATCTTTGCTTTTTAACACTTTAAAGAGGTCTTTTGCAGCAGATTTGCCCAATGCAATGTGTCTTGATTTCCTGACTGCTGCTTCCATGAGCGTTGATTGTGGATCCAAATGAAATGAAGTCCTTGACAACTTCAGTATTCTTTCCTCTTATCATGATGTTGCTTATTGGTCCAGTTGTGAGTGTTTTTGTTTTCTTTATGTTGAAGTGTAATCCGTACTGAAGGCTGTAGTCTATGATCTTCATTAGTAAGTTTAGGAGGCTAGATGTCCGAATTCAGGGCGCTGGCTCCGAGGAAGGGCTCTCTCTGTTCATTCTGGGAGAAAAGCCTTGTCTCTTTCAGCTTCTCTTCCTTGATTCCTTGGAGAGCTCCACGTAACATCAATCTGTCTCCATTTGGGCTTCCTTGCTTGTCTGCCTAATGGACTCCCTTTATATCTCAAAAGTGATTAGTTTAAGACATACCCTACAGGGATATGGCCTCATTAGCCAAACAATCCCAAATGGGGTTACATCCACAGGTATAGGGGTTAGGATTTACAGCACATATTTTGGGGGGGACACAGTTCAATCCATAGTACCCAAGGTGACACCAAGTGGTATACTGGGGACTAGAAGCTTCTGATGCCACTCGGACGCCCCCTACACCCCAGCAACCTCTCTCTCTTTTAAATCGTAAAACCTCACATTTGAGGAGCCCTGGTGGCGCAACAGTTAAGCGCTCCGCTGCTAGCTGAAAGGTTGACAGTTCGAACCCACCTGCCGCTCCATAGGAAAAAGACCTGGCAGTCTGCTCCCGTAAAGAATACAGCCTAGAAAACCCTATGGGGCATTTCTACTCTGTCACATGGCGTCGCTATGAGTCAGAATTGACTTGACAGCACCAGCAACAGCAACACATTTGTCTAGCAGTTTAAGCGTTTTGAAGTATTTTATCTGGTGTTGTCATTGAAATTATGGGCAAAGGGGCCTTGCCTGGTGACCTTAGAAGTAGGTAGCGGTGTTTGGGGAAGAGGCATGACTCAAAGCCCGCCAGCCCTGGCCAGGAAGAACCTGTCTGCGTTCACTTCTAGGATGTACTGTTTTCTAAAAAGTGAACGTTTTGCCCATATGTACTGTGTTCCAGGCACAGTTAAGCATTGCCAGCTACGTTAGGGTGTTTAACCCTGTTTTACTCAGGCCAGTGAGGGCTGGAGAGAGGGAGTAACTGACCCCAAGTTTCTGGACCAGCTGAGTGGCCGGAATTTGAACCCAGACCTCCTGCCACTCTGGTGAATGCAGGGGCTCCCCTGGGTTTCAGAAGGATTCACATCAGAACGGGAATGTGAGCCCCACTGTGCTAGGTCAAGAGATATTGCTGGGGGGTAGTTTAATCAGCTGTTACGGCAGATGACGCTTGACGTAAATATTTAACCATTTTCACTGCACTTGTTCCCCAAGGAACAGGGACAGCAGGAAAGGCAATCAGACTATGTCCCTAGAAGGAATGTGATGGCAAAGCTAAGGAAATTTGAGAGGACCTCTCAGGCCTTTCAGGGCCCAGGGAACCATCTGGCAGTGGGAACCTGGACAGCCCTGCCCTCACCACGGCCCTGGGAGTAGGGTTCAGGCTTTGAGGAAGGGACAGGCCTCCAAGCCCTGGGCTCCAGTGTATAAAATAGCAGCTGACTGAGCCTCTCAACAGGAATCCCTGGGTGGCGCAAACGGTTAAGCGCTTGACTACGAACTGGAAGGTTGGCAGTTCAACCCCCCCCCAGAGGTTCCTCGGAAGAAAGCCCTGGCGATCTGCTTACAGAAGGTCACAGCCTTGAAAACCCAACGGAGCACAGTTCTACTGTGTACACATGGGGTTGCCATGAGTCAGAATCACGCAACAACAACAGTCTTTACCAAAGTTAATCACTGGGCCTTTCTTCCGTGGAGCTGCAGGGTGGGTTCAAACCTTTGCGTTACCTAGGCACCTTGACAGAGATTAACCTGGCCCAGAATGTCCATAGTGCGGAGGTTGAGAACCCCTGGACTACAGGAGTGGGGCTGGTGAACTCCAAGGGCTTTGAGGAAGGCTTCCAAGGGATTTTTACCACCCTGGCAAAGTTACCCACCAGCTGCTACTTGAAAACCCTGTGGGGCAGTTCTACTCTGTCCTATAGGGTCACTATGAGTCAGAATCGACTCAGTGGCAATGGGTTGTTTTTGTTCTGCAAAGTTACCGGTGTCCACACTCCGGCATGCTTTCCAGGCTCAACTTCTTGGATTTTGCTCTATTTCAACTGGGCGATTCGGTCACTGGCCACCATTGGCCGTTCCTCCTGAAATTCTACCTTGTTGACTTCCCAGTCCCACCTCTCCTGGGTCTTCTCCCACCTGTCTGACTGCTCCTGCTCAGGCAGCTTCACAACATCTCCTTCTCCACCTACCCCAGAATTTAGTGGTCTCTGCTTGGATCATGAATTGCTCTTTACACAAAAATAAAATCAACACGCATATGCCTCCATTATAACAAAAACAAAAAAACCAGTTGCCTTCGAGTCATCTCTGACTCATGGCAACCCCATGCCTGTCAGAGTAGAACTGTGCTCCATGGGATTTTCATTGGAAGTAGATTGCCAGGCCTTTCTTCTGAGGCTCTTTTGGGTGCTTTTGAACCGCCAACCTTTCGGTTAGTAGCCAAGTGCTTAACTGTTTATGCTACCCAAGGACTCCTACCTCCATTGTGGGTATGTGTATTTACTACTGCATTACAGAAACACGCAAAAAGAAATTTAAAATAATTGGATGAAAAGTAGAGGCAGAATTTGTCACACCTCCTTCCCCCACCCCTTGAAGCCACCTCGTTGGGTCCTAAGGTCTTGCCTTTGGCCACACGTGGCCTTTCAGACTCTCCTTTTCCCAACCCCTCCCAAGCTGCTCCCCTCCCTTTCCTACTTGGCCGATGGCACCCCCGCCCTGGTTACCCAGGCCAGCGCTGAAACCAGCCTACATTCCTCACTACCACGCAGTCATAAATGCAGCCACGTCTTGCCTCCTAACTGGTTCTGGAATCTCACCTTCTCATCAGCCCTGTGGCCTCCGTTGTTTCTCGTCTGAACTCCTGAAATAACGTCCTAATCTCATCATCTCCAGTTGGCAGGGATCTATTTTAAGCTACTGATTTGACCAAGTTCTTCTGTCGTTCAAAGCTCTTTAGTGGTTCCTCATTGCCTCCAAGATAAAGGTCAAGCTCCTTATTCAGACAGGATCTGGCCAGTCTGCCTCCTAGTTTCCTCTCTCCCCGCCACCTCCAACACTTGTGCTGCAGCAAATGGAATATACACTCTGCGTATAAATATACAGTCCCTGCTTCCTCACCTCCCCCAACACACACTGTGCAGTCTCGCCTGTCTGGGCTTCTATTCATATCCTCCCCTTTACTGCCAATGTTCTTCCCCCCATCCCTGATGTATCCCAGCCCAGCTCAGGCACCACCGCTGATGGTAAACCAGTCCAATTGCTGTTGAGTCATTTCTGACTCCTGGCAACCCGGTGTGTGTCAGCATACACCTGTACTCCGTAGGGTTTTCAGTGGTTGAGTTTTCAGAAGTAGATCACCAGGCCTTTCTTCCAAGGCACTTCTGGCTGGGCTCAAACCTCCAAGCTTTTGGTTAGCAGCTGAGTGCGTTAGCTGTTTGCGTCATTTGCGTCA